TTGCTGACCACAGAAGTGGCAGCGTGCACCACCACAGCCTCCTTGTGTGCCTCTCAGATTCCCTTGATGAATGGAAAGGCTTTAGCAGTTCAACAGAATGTGGAGTGTGTGGCTGTTGAGAGGAGTTGTATTCAAGAAACTAAACTCTAGTAACCTGGGTACCTCATCTCCATCTGGACCTGATAAAGATGATAAGATCTTGCACTTTTAAGTCTGAGCCTGACACCATAACTAAGACTTGTGGCAGGTATTGAGTGGGAATGAGTGTGTCTTTCAAATGGGAGATTAGCCAACCCATTACTTTCTTCCAATGAACAGAGTGTGAGTAAAGTGATGGCAGTGACTTTTAACACCAAGTTTGAGAAGCAGAGCTTGGACTGTCTCAGACTGCTTGCCCTGGAAACCCAGCCACCATGTGGTGAGGACACTTAGGCCAAGAGGACAGCTCAGGTGGTCCAGTGTTGCTGCTCCACCTTGCCTGCCCATCACAGCAACCTGACATTAGTGAACAGACCTTCGGATGATGGCAGTCCCTCAGCCTTCATCTGAGGGAGCAAAGGCAGACTGTTCTCACCAAGCTTTTCCCAAACCACAGATCTGGGAAGGTAATAAATGTTATAAGCCACTAAAGTTTGGGTATTTAATTAGGGAACAATAAACAAGAAAGTAGATTTAAAAAGAGAGACAGAGGGAAACAACTTACATAATAGAAATTAGTCTCCTTTAAAGTAGGATCTAGAAATTACTGAAGATAATTAATAAATTACAACCAATGCTAATAAAGAGCTACTACTAGTAGACACTAGAGTTATTGGAGAAGTTCTCTTCAAGTGCTCATTCTTACTAAGAGTGAAGTGTACCTCTTTAGAATGTTTCCTCAAGTTGGGTATTTGGAAGAATGGGAAGCAAGGAGACATATATTCTTTGAATTTTGGTAGTTGAAAGACAGCTAGAAATATTTGGTTTATCAAAATAAGATATTTTGCCTGATTTCAACTAAGTGATTTTAAAAGAGGGAGTTTTGAGTATTTATTAATAACCTAGCATTAATCCTTATTTCCTTTCCTCGATGAAGAACAGCAGACAACCTGATGGAATCATTTAAATCTCCTCAGTAGTAAAATAAAAGTAGGGTCCTTTCAATGACTAGAAATCAAATACACTTTCTCCTTTACCTTACTTTAACCTTGTTTTTATGGAGACGACCGTCTCTTCTTCCTGTTGCACTATAAACTTCACCATATCATACAAAACGGCTTTAAATTTTTGAAATTCACATGAATACTTTGGCTATTGATAAATTGCCTGAACAGTATCTCATTTGTACTCCTGAAACCTTTTTCTTTGGAAGATTTGGGTTATTTACTCCATAAATTCTGTACTGAGCCATAAAGTATAGCTATGCTTTGATTAAGCAAAAGGAGATGAATGCAGTGTCTAAGAATGAAGGGTCTGTGCCGAGAAGAGGATCAGCCCCAGTGTTCCACATAGACACCAGGTGAAAACAAGATGCACTTATAAACTGAAAGACAGTGATGAGCTCAATTTTCAATGAGGAAAACTGCCAGCACAGACTTAACTCCTCCCCACTTGATAAAAATCTATAGATGATTCCAGAAATTATAATTCACTATTAATCATAATGCAATAAATAGTTGACTTGGCCAGCAGATCCTGTGACCAAGATTTGAGGGAAATGGAAGTGAAAAGAGATGCTTTTGTGCTGGACCTGCAGAGTTAACTGAATTGTAGCAACAGGGATCCCATGGTCTACATAGCCTAAAATACTACTAGGTGGCCCTTGCAGAAAAGTTTATTGAGCACTGTTCTAGATCTTGAGTATATCATTGTCATTTTAAAGTGATATCAAATATTCAAATGACAGAATTGGCAAAATGGGGAAAAGATAAATTTCCTTATGGTAACATCGATATTTTTCATTTTAAGCACCAGCTTATTAACTATAATTTAAAAAAAAACATGTATATAAATGATGACAGCTATGCCAGTGATGACAAAACAAACTGGTCCTTTTGATACCAATTAGAAGTTTCATGGAATAGTTCCCAAGGCAGTATTTATGCAGAATGCCTGGGTCTCTGAATCCCAGCTCTCTACCAGTTACTAGCTGTGTGACCTTGCGTAAGTGACCTTTTGGTATCTCTAGTTTCTTCATGTGTAAAATGCAGATAGTGAAAGTTCTACATCACTGGATCACTGGGAAGAGATTAAGGAAAAAAATATATATATATTTAAGGGAATATTTTATTAAAACATAATAGCAGTGATAATAGTAAACATTATACATAGCTCATTATGTGCCACCTAAGTTATATATATATATAAAACTTAGGTGTATGATATGGTGAAGTTTATAGTGCAACAGGAAGAAGAGACGGTCATCTCCATAAAAACAAGGTTAAAGTAAGGTAAAGGAGAAAGTGTATGTGTGTGTGTGTGTGTGTGTGTGTGTGTATGTATATATATATATATATATATATATATATATATTACTTAAATTAGGTGGCACATAGTGAGCTATGTATAATGTTCACTATTATCACTGCTATTATGTTTTAATAAATTTTGATATTGCAAGCAGGTGGCATGCCAGTGGAAGAAATCTTCTATACAAGTTGCACTGAACCAATCATCACAATACTGAAATTTGGTAGCAAATGAAGAATGAGAGGTCCAGAATACATCTCATCTTCATAAAACTTTCACCAATTCCAGTAGCCAATATTACTTTTTCCCACTTGTAATAACTGATAGCTTTTTTTTTTCTCACTAGACAGTGATAAGGTAGTTTAATGTAAATAGCCCCTCCTGGATTAGGTAGTTTATAATTGACATGATCATCAGAAGCAGGCTAAAGCCACTGACCTGAAATGATCAGATTTTATTGCTAAATCAAAGTTTCCAACTCAATATATTCCTAGCAATGGTAGGTACTGTACTACTTTAGCAAGCACACTGACGAATAAGTAGAACAATGTTATGGGGTACAGCAAGTGAAAGTGCTATAAATCTGCAAATCCTTGTTCTGGCTACATAATGAGCAATGGGAAATGTAGATTTTATTCCATAGTGAGAAAAACATGAGCATTTGACGACCAATTCTCAATTAGAATAAGTGTCTTCAATTTTATAATTAAAGACTAAAAATATAAAATATATTTAGACTAAAACCTGAAATATGTCAATATATCAAAGAAAAAATATAGACATGGTGTAAAGTACCTAATTTTATCCTAATAATTGTTATTATTCTCTTCTTAAGTGAATTTATACTCAGACAAGATAATTAAGATAATATCCCATACCAAAAAAAAAAAAAAATGGAGCAATGTAAAATGAAGGGCAAAATAGTTCTGTACAGGGAAGTGCTAAGAAAAAGTAATGCCAGCGAGAGTCAGAAAAGTTAGAGAAAGCTTCATAAAAAAGAGCAAATTCTGTTCATTTTTTTTTTAGTACCGGGGATTGAACTCAGGGGCACTTGACCACTGAGCCACATCCCCAGCCCTATTTTGTATTTTATTAGAGACAGGGTCTCACTGAGTTGCTTAGTACCTCGCTTTTGCCAAGGCTGAACTTGCAATCCTCCTGTCTCAGCCTCCTGAGCCGTTGGGATTACAGGTAGTGCCACTACACCCCGCTAAAAAAGAGCCAATTCTTTTAAAGCCAGTTTTGAATACATGAGGCCAAATGTATAAAAACTGAAGAGACAGGACAGCAAGAATAAGGCACAGAGATGGTGAAATCAGCACAATTAGTGGAGAGGACAAAAATCCAGTGGCAGTGAATAAAACATGTCTGCAAAATATTTCATAAATGTGTGTTCACAGCAGCATTATTCCAAGAGCCCCCAACTGGAAGCATCCTAAGACCCAACACCTGGGGACAAGATAAGCGATACAGCCACACAACAGAGTGTTACGGTACGATAGAAAGAAACAAGGTACTGATACTTGCTACAACACAGATGAATACTGAAAACATTATGCTAAGTGAAAGAAGCCAGTCAGAAAGGACTAGATATTGTGTGAGTCGGCTTATATGAAATGTCCATTGCAGAGAAATTATAGAGATGGAAAATGGATTGTTGGTTTCCTAGGACTTGGAGGAACAAGAAGGGTGACCACTCAGGGAATCAAAGTTTTTTTTTTTCAAGGTTATGAAGATGTTCTAAAATTGACTGTGATGATGTTTATATAACTCAATATGCTGAGATACCGTTACACTTTAAATTAGTGAGCTGTATGGTATATGTCCATTATATCTCAATAAAGTTGCTTTTTAAAAGATATAATGCAAGAATCTGACTTTCTTCATTCTTCCTTTCTTAGGATGTAAGTAGTAGACATGACCTTAATATTTCTGTTCTTTTATAATATGTCTAAAATAAAAGCATAATGAAGGGAATTCTTAACTTTTCCAATAACTTCAGTATTAATCTAAAGTATTTGCATATTTGGAGAAATGGCCTTTCTGTCCAAGTTATCTTGAAAACCATGAAATAATCATACACAGATTCTGTATCCATTCACAAAAATGAAGATAAGAAATAATACAATTCCATGGAACATTCCATTAAATGAATTCCTCTGATTTAATCCGTCTTGCCTCCCCATGGCAATAGACATAGGCACTAAAAAGTATGTTTTAACAGAAATTGAGTCTCTCAACTTGTGTAAGGAGTGATGTATAGTTCTCAACTTTCCTAAGGTTAAATAGTTTAAGGAAAGATGTATGACATTATAAGAAAAAAATGCAAGAATGAAAGTCAGAGTTTAAGATTTCTTAAAAAAGTGCACAAGTGGGCTAGGAATGTACCTCAGTGTTAGAGTACAGACCTTGCTCACACAAGGCCCTGCATTCAATCACCAGAACTGCAAAAGCAAAAACAAAGAAGTAAGTGCACTAGTAAATAATTAAATTATAACAAAATTAATGCTGTGCACTGAAATCAGTATCCTAAAACACTTCATATTAAACAGCTATAGATTGACTGTTGATATTTTCAAATTCATTCGTACTTGACTTATGTTCTGATTTAGTTCCTTCTTTAAATTCTGTGTCTCCTCTTCTAAACTAAGGCGATAACCTGATGAAACTTCTAGTGAAGACTCTGACATAGATCGTCCTTTCAGGGTATCAGCCTGCTCTTGTTGAAGTTGTCTCACTGCTACCTGATAAGATATTTCTGTTAATGATTTTATAAGTCACTTCATTATTTCTGTATGTTAATAATATTTAACTCTTACATATACTGTGAAAAAAATCATCACATGTATCAATTGATCTTTTTTTTTTTCTAATACTTATTTATTAGTTTTCGGCGGACACAACATCTTTGTTTGTATGTGGTGCTGAGGATCGAACCCGGGCCGCATGATGCCAGGCAAGCACGCTACGGCTTGAGCCACATCCCAGCCCTCAAATGATCCTCTGAATAGATATTTTTCTTTATTTCTAAATTCTGTTAAAGACACAGAAGGAGTTGTCTTCCTGTCTAATCACTATTACGTTCACAGACAATAGATTCAGTCCCTTATCCACTCCTCCCCTGATTAAAATGCAGTGCTTGACTACCATTCTACTGAATTTTTAAACAGAAATGGGTATGCAGGTGGGATTAGTGCTGGTGAATTCTACAGAGGGGAACATTATCCCTCATTCTTCTTTGGGGCTCAAATTAACACCTGAGTTCCTCGTGTATTAAATCCTCTGCTCAAATCTTTCCAATAGATTCCTGTCTCAGAATAAAAGCAAGGCCCTAGATAATCTGGCCTCCTCCTTCCTCCTTGACCTTAGCTGCTCCCTCCTCACTCCATTCCTGTGGCACATGAATCCTGCCGCACCTCATTAGTCTCAAAATGGGGATTCAATACCCAATTAATGAACCATGGAGAGCTACGATTATCCTTGTACTAGACAAAGTGATTTCCTTTACATGATAGCAATTGAGCCTTCAAAGGAAAAGGATGAGCAAATTATCCGTGAACATATTCAGTTAATGACAGATACAGTGGGAAGATTAAATCAACTACAGTTTTGCTATGATTCATCACATTCATCCCATTCCCATATTATGATTTGATGAAATGTAGATGCTTCTAAAAAGTTGAGGCATCATGAGAATAAAAGAATTTGAGACAGTAATTTTGAGGTTCAAGTCAAATTGTCATGAATAAAAATAAAATTAGAAAGATAAAATGCTAGTGAAGGACAGCCATTAAAAAACACGATATCTGCATTTCAGCTTAGCTTGGAAATCTGGAATAAACTCTCCAACTAGCCCACTTAATTGAATCCAGGTAGGCACATTTCCATTTATCTGCTTTATCATGTTCTGAAAGCATGGCAACATGAAGACATTACAATTCTTGTTCTGGGCAGGTCTCTCAGTGGGGAGAGCACATGCTTAGTCTATGCAAGGCCTTGAGTTCCATTCCCAGCAGTGTAAGAGAGGGTGACAAAGGAAACATGGTAAGATCTCAACATGTGAAGGGTGTGTGGGAATTCTTGGTTGAAAACTTTTGATTCTAGATTCACAGCACAGACATACTGTGTCTATGTCCACTCTCAGCAGAGCAATTTCATCCTCCAACCTGTTGTATATATGCAGTAGATCTTTTTACTGTTGGCAAAAAAGGGAGACCCCTACATTATATTTGGTTGGTGTTGTCTTTAAGTGTCTTATGATCTATTAGCAGTTCACATTTTTTTAAATGCCACTTATTTGTTAATGAAACGGGATCATTTGCTTTACTTTTTGAAAATGATAACTGTATCCTCCTCGTAGGACACATTCCTATATTGCCCGTTTTCCCTGTAAACTGGTAGATCTAAAAGCTTCATTAAACTGGATTCAAATAAAAAGAGTACATTATTAATATTAGTCTATGTCTACTAAGAATTTGAAATGTAACCTCTTAAAACTTCATAGAAAACACAATGCCTTTACTCAAATAAAGCTTCTCTCAGGTCCAACCTTCTCTATGTGACTGAGTCCCTCTTTTTTTGTTGTTTTTAATTAGTACATACTTGTACTTGTTTATGAGGTGCAGTGTAATATTTCAAAACATATGCAACATATAGTGATCAGAACAGGGGAACTGGCGGACTCATCACGTCAAACATGGATTATTTTTTTTGTGCTGGGAATCAGGTCTAAGTCAAATTTAATGGAAGCGAGGTTAAGTTTTGGAGCTGATATAGTTAATGCATTTATAATATATGTATTTTTATATACAGCTAGATTCAACATTAGCCATAATCAAATATTACTTTGAATTTTCTCTGAAAGACAATTCATATGTTTATCTTGCTTGATCCTTACCTCCCTTTCTGCTTTCTCCTTTCCATATCTTTCTTGCAGTCTTTCTTCAAAATGGTTACAACTGTTAATTAGTCCCTTAATTCTGTTTTCCAGCATGAGACTGTATTTTTTACTCTCATCTTGAAGTACTTTTATAATGTCATGAAATCTGTGTAGGACATTAATTACTGTCTCTTCTTTATTGTCAGTGTTGTTGTGAAGGTCATGCAATTGCTGTTGAGGCAATGTATTTTCGTTTTGTAGCTGAGATAATCGCTCCTCTGTGGACTCCTGCTTCTCAGTGTATTTATTCACTTTACTTTGTTCGTTTTGATACGTGTGTTCAATTTTCTTCACGTGGCACTTTGTTTCCCTTAGGTCTCTTTGTACATTTTCCAAAACCAAAGTCATTTCTTTAAGAGCATCAGTTGTATGACAGAGCTTATTTTCTAGGTTACAGATTTTTGTCTTGTTCTTAGAAAGCTGTTGGGAAACCATCACACTATTAATTTTGAGGTTACATATATCAAAATCCATCTTGGCCTGTGCACTAAAGTACTCATTTCTTATTTCCTGGATAGTGAATTCTAGGTCTCTTCTTGGTATCTGACTTTCATAATGATGGGATGGAACAAGATCCAATCTGGTATGGTAGGGTTCAAGTTCTGTTTCCAGTCTTGCTTTGTTTTGTTTTAGATTCTCCAGTTCAAGAGTTAGCATTGCAATCTCAGCTTTCAGATTATTTAACTGTTCATTACGCTGGAGTGTTATTTCTCTCTCTGTTTCCTCATTCACTTCAATTGCCCTTTGAAGGTCATCACTCTTTACTTTTACAATTTCAATATTTTCAAGATATTTCTTTTCCATATCCTGGCTCTGACATCTTACTGTGTCTATGTCCACTCTCAGCAGAGCGATTTCATCCTCCAACCTGTTGTATAAATGCAGTAGATCTTTTCTTGTACAATCACTAGTAGGAACCTAAGTAAAACCAAGGAGACATTTAGCTACGACTCAATGACATATCCCATTTTCCTTTGAAATCAAAGAATAACCTTTACATATGTACAAGGAAAGCATTGCAATAGATGGATATTCAGCTGGAGAAAAATTAGATCTAAACTTCAGAGAATGTTAAAAGCAAAAGTTCCCCCAAATTTAAAAATTTCATTGTAGGAAATAAATCTATGAGAGTAAGCAAAAAAAAAAATAATAATTTTTAAGAATCTTGGAATTAAAGACTTTCCCTGAATTCTAACAGAACCAAGGCATAGAGTTAGTGATTAAAAAATTTAAGACTACATTTTTATACCTAATGTATATAGCCAACTCATAATAAGAAGAACCTTAACTCTACACATAGACATTTGGATAGATGAAATTTCCACAGGTTATTTTAGTTCCTCTTTCCTGAAAATATTCTACACATATTCTGCTTTTTTTACCTTTTTTTAGTCAGTTATTAAAATGACATCTATTGATAACCGATAAATCTAGTAGTCATACTAAGCATTTCTACCTACATCAATGATTTTTCAATCACAATTCTGAAAAGGAGGGCACAGTTAAAAAGTCTAAGCAAATATCAGAATTTTCCCCAAGTCTTCTGACTCTGCTTCTAACTCTCTTCCACCAAACCAGGTATTCCTGAACTATAAACACATAAATAAAAAAGAAGGCTTATGGCTTAAAACCCTAAAGGTAAAGAAGGTAAAAAAATTTAAGGCATTTCTCAAACTCCTGACATTGTTTGCTATTTAGTAACATTTGTGTTTTCTCTGCCATGTTGAATTTTGCAGATGTAAAAGTGGAAGATTATTTTGCTTGGTTTGATTTTCAGATATCTGTCTGTCCCAGAGGATGCTTTAAAAAATAACTTTACCCTTAGGTAATCAAAGGGCATGGACAAAGAAAATTTAGAAATAATTCAAATTTAACTGGTAAATCTCTTAACATATACCCAGGGACTCACAAATCCGTGGACCAGAACTAAGAAAAATAAGTAGTACTTGTAGCAAAATAGAAAGTAGAAAACAACTTTTCCAGATTGTATCTACTAAACTTAACTCATTATGTGTTAAATTTACCACAACTGAATTAAATGATTTTTGGTGGCTCCCAGACATTCTCCCAGAACCTCAAGTACCCAGAGGTGATGCATAGGGAGCTTGGTCTGAATTTCTTTTTCTTTCCTTTTTTTTTTTTGGGGGGGGGGCACAATATCTTTATTTTATTCATTTACTTTTTTTTTTTTTGATGTGGTGCTGAGGATCGAACATAGGGCCTTGCATATACTAGGCGAGTGCTCTACTGCTGAGTTAAATGATTTTTAACATTAGAAATGCTTCCTCATGCTGGGCGCGGTGATGCTTGCCAGTAATCCCAGTGGCTCAGGAGGCTGAGATAGGAGGATCAAGAGTTCAAAGCCAGCCTCAGCAACTTAGTGAGGCCCTAAGCAACTCAGTAAGACCCTATCTCTAAATAAAATTCAAGAAAGGGCTGGAAATGTGGCTCAGTAATTAAGATCCTGGGTTCAATTCCCGGCACGCACGTGCATGCACACTCACTCACACACACACACACACACGCACATATACACACACACAATTGCTTCCACACGTAAAAGATATCACCCATTTCTTAAATAGAGAGCCCTTACAGTGCATTTAAGTTTTTTTTCTGAAGAAATTGGAGAGAAGGCACACTTTTAATTACTAAGAGCCAAAATCTATATATGCCAATCAGAAAGAAATATGTTTTAAAGTTTTATTGAAATCTTATATGGTTTTACATATACATTGAATTTCTGCAGTCCAGTTCTAATGTATTCTAATGTCCACTGAAAACAGTGAATTATGTTGACAATATTTACCCATCTCCTTCATTGAAAGGAAATAAGTTGAAAAGTTTTCATTTGCACCCTAACACCACAGATTCCATTCTGAAAGGCTGGATTCTCTTAACAGGCAGTTTGTTCTATTATACCCCTATACTGTGGATGGAAATATGAAACTAAAACTTTTGGGTTACTGGTAACAATCTCCTTTAACACGTATGCAATTCAGTGGTCATTTCTGTCATAACTGTTCATAATTTCAAGTACTTACAAGACTCAAATTTGACCTTACTTTCTTCATCATTTAAGGAGGTTGTACAAAAGGAAGCACAAACAGTATTTGGGGAAAAAATGCCTCATTCCCAAGGATAAAGATTAGTAATAAGTCACCAGGGACAAAAAACATATTTTAAGAGTCATAACCAATTAAAATGTTTTAAAAATTAAGTATTAAACTATATCTATGGATTCTTAAAGGCTATTCTGAAAGGTAATTTAATTTGGCCTATTCTAAAGGGCTTACCTTAATTTGGCCTACTTTAATGATCTACATTATTAAAGCAAGGAAAACAAAGAGTGAAACCGGAAACTCAAATGTGTACATGCTTACATACCTGTGGCTGGCTGTCTTCAGTGTCATCAAGGCTCGTTTGCTCTTCCTCTGATGTTACTTCTAAGCTTGGTGCTGCTGACAAATGTATATATTTACTTAAACTACTTAAAACAGAAAAATGCAATGATCAAAACAGAAATAAAAAGCACATACTACTAATAATGGAAATTTACTTATTTATTTATATTTTATGATATAAGCTTATTCTTTATTTATTTACATTTAATGATTTAAGTTATTCTTTAGCTGAAATTTTCTTTTACTTAATACATTTTATGATTGTGTGTATATGTGGAGTTAACATGGGGCCTTGTGCAGGCTCTCAACCAGTGAGATCATCCCCAGGCTTCTTTATTTTTATTTTGAGACAGGCTTTCTCTTAAGTGCCCATCCTGGCCTGAAATCTGCTATCCTCCTGCCTCAGCCTCCCCAGTAACTGAGATTACAGGTGTGCTCCATTGTACCCAGAAAACATTTACTTCTTTAAGAAATCGTTATATTTATCCCAATTTTCAACAAACCAGTTAGGAAGACTCTAGATGTCACCAAGTCCATGCATACAAACATCTCAAAGATTCATTTACAAATGCAAGCACTCAATATAAATGAATAAATTCTCAGAAACAAAATTTAAAAGTACCACAGGAACCTGAAAATTCACACTGTATGCTATCCTCTATCTCACAATAGGAACTTCTAAACAACGGCTGTTCATTACTACTGGTTTCCAAAATGACTGATACTTTCTTACATGATCTATAAACACTGCTCCTTATATCTGAGATGTTTTTTGTCCACCATTGTTGACAAATTCCTTTCCTGATTTAATAAACTCAGTCTACTATGTGACATCTTCCTTGATTATGGCTATCATTCTTGTTCCTGAGGTTAAACTGATATTTCTTTCTTTGGGGCTACCTTGCCTTTTTGTCAGGTTTTCTACTTTATTTTTATCACTTGCATAGTAAGTCACTTCTTTACATGTCAATCCCTTTTGCACCTGGACTGGAAGGGACAATATCTTAAGTCACTTTGTGTAAACAGTCCTTATTTATTTGACTCCCTAATTGTTTATTGAGTTCCTAGTAAGTACTAGGGTAAACATGAGGTGTGGGGCTGATGGCTTCTCTAGAGGTCACCCCTGAGCTGAGACTTAAACAAGTGAGCTCAGCCAGCCAGAGGGCAGGAAAAAGTGAGAGCATGAGGCAGCAGCAAGAGAGGAAGACAACTATTAAATAGGGTATGTGTTTGTCTAAAAATATAAGGACTGGTGAGGAAGGGGCTAGAGGAAAAGGGCTAAATCTGCATCATATTATGAAAGCTTTATAGGTAAGCTGAAGATGCTTGGATATTAATGTTTAAAAGAGTGGTTCATGGTCATATTTATACTGGATCTAGATCAATGCTGTGGGCAGGATGAATATTCATGAGGCACATGTAGATAATGTAAGAAATGTAAGAAAATGAATACTTAGAAGGCAAGCAGTACAAAATAAAGATGCAGGAATTAACCAAAAAAATTTAGGATAGAAATATTTCAGTTATAAAGATTTTTTTTAGGGGGAGAGGAAGATGGCGGCGAGGGGAGTGCATTGCCCCCGTGTGCTGCTTCACTGTGTGGGAGTATGACAAGTCAGGACGGCTAAAGGCTATCTTGTTAGGAATTTCCAGCAATATTGGGGTGCTCCGGAACCTGGAGGAAGGATTTCCATCGCACGAGGATCGGCTACGGGGACTCAAACGCGAGAGGTTTGTCGCACGGAGGGTAACACTGCTTATTCAGCAAACCGCCCCGTGGCTAGAGTCTGCAACGCGCGCTGGGAAACGAGGAGATAGCGACGCAGGAATACAGCGCTGCAGTTTCTGCCAGCCGTGCAAGCACCGTACTCAGGGCTGAATTCTGGGTTCGAGACGGGGGAAGGAAGCGGTCCATCTCGGTTCTCCACACCGGTCAGACCACAGAGGAAGCCAGCAGCCACCATGTTGGAAAGCTGACGTCACCATCCCTGTGACGTCACCGCAGCTCATTCAGCCATAGAACAGGTAATTTCAGGCTGCCATTCGCCTGCGGCTTGCAGACAGATTGCTAGGGTTCAGTGCCTGGGGGCTTCTTAGAACCTGATCTTATCGGAGCGAACACCAAGCGCTGGCTGGCCGAGTTCCGGCTCCTGGAACCGCCCTGGCCCAGGGCTGGGGAGCCTGCGGAGGCTGCTTCTTGGACCCTGCTCCTATCAGAGCATATACCAAGCACTAAGCGGCTGAATTCCAGCTCCCGGAACTGAGCCCGCGGGGACTGCTTCTTGGAGCCTACTCTTATCGGAGCTTACACCAAGCTCGGAGCGGCAGAGTTCCGGCTCCCGGAACTGCCCTGGCCCAGGGCTAGGAGCCCATGGAAACTGCTTCTCGGTCCGGGTCCTGCTGAGGGCCGGTCAGGACTCACCCGTTGCTTTGGTTGCCCGGCAAGGGGAACGAAATGCTGCCATTCGCATAGGATACCAACATGGCAGAGATCTGATGTCATCAGAAAGTGGC